GTTTGGAACAAGCTGTTAACAACTTGTAACAACCTTGTTGATATTATCAGACTTGTTGCAAGGTTGTTCCAACAAGTCCGATACAGTCATGATATAACAATATTGTATACAACTTGTTTAACAGCTTGTAACAAGCTTGTTGATATTATCAGACTTGTAGCAAGGTTGTTTCAACAAGTCTGATACAGTCATGATATAACAATATTGTTACAACCTTGTGTCGTCAACCTTGTATCATTCTTGTTATATCATGACTGTAACGGACTTGTTGGAACAACCTTGCTACAAGCCTGATAATATCAACAAGCTTGTTACAAGCAGTTTAAACAACTTGTACAATATTGTTATATTATGACTTTATCAGACTTGTTGAAACAACCTTGCTACAAGTCTGATAATATCAACAAGCTTGTTACAAGCTGTTAAACAACTTGTATACAATATTGTTATATCATGATTGTATACAATTTAACAGCTTGTAACAAGCTTGTTGATATTATCAGACTTGTAGCAAGGTTGTTCCAACAAGTCTGATACTGCAGTCATGCTATAACAATATTGTATTCAACTTGTTAACTGCTTGTAACAAGCTTGCATGTTGATATTATCAGACTTGTAGCAAGATTGTTCCAATAAGTCTGATACAAATTTTTCTGTGTTGGTGTTGTGTACTCAGGTGAATAATATGTTTGCGATGTTACTCTGAGTGCATATCCACACCGGGCGAGCTTGAAAAATATGCCCGGCCACGGTGGGATTCGAACCTACGACCTTTGGAATACTAGCCCAATGCTCTTCCAACTGAGCTACGCGGTCAGGACGGTTCGAGTAAGTGATATTTCGGAACAGTAGCAAGGTTTTTCCAACAAGTCCGATACAGCCATGATATAACAATATTGTATTCAAATTGTTAACAGCTTGTAACAAGCTTGTTGATATTATCAGACTTGTAGCAAGGTTGTTTCAACAAGTCCGATACAGTCATGATATAACAATATTGTACAAGTTGCTTAAACAGCTTGTAACAAGCTTGTTGATATTATCAGACTTGTAGCAAGGTTGTTCCAACAAGTCTGATACAGTCATGATATAACAATATTGTATACAAGTTGTTAACAGCTTGTAATAAGCTTGTTGATATTATCAGACTTGTAGCAAGATTGTTCCAACAAGTCCGATACAGTCATGATATAACAATATTGTACAAGTTGTTTAAACAGCCTGTAAGAAGCTTATTGATATTATCAGACTTCTAGCAAGGTTGTTCCAACAAGTCAGATACAGTCATGATATAACAATATTGTATACAAGTTGTTAACAGCTTGTAACAAGCTTGTTGATATTATCAGACTTGTAGCAAGGTTGTTCTAACAAGTCTGATACAGTCATGATATAAGAATATTGTACAAGTTGATTAAACAGCTTGTAACAAGCTTGTTGATATTATCAGACTTGTAGCAAGGTTGTTCCAACAAGTCCGCTACAGTCATGATATAACAATTATGTATACAAGTTGTTAATAGCTTGTAACAAGCTTGTTGATATTATCAGACTTGTAGCAAGGTTGTTTCAACAAGTCCGATACAGTCATGATATAAGAATATTGTATTCAAGTTGTTATTTAACAAATATAAAACATTTTCCGTGTTGATATACAGTTATATCAACACGAGTGGAAATTGGGAAAACGAGAAATTGTGTGGAAACACGACGCCCGAAG